AGTGGGGAGCAGGGAAGAGGCCCAAGTGCCACATCCCTGACGTCTCCGAGCCCCCTCCTGCTCCAGGAGGCACCGGGGGCCGATGCTCCGGCGCCGGGGAGGGCACGGACCCACTCGCTGCAGATCGTGATGCCAGTGGCTCCCAGCAAGCCCCCCTCAACCCTCCAGGAAGAAGAACCCCACCGGCACCACAGCTCGGGCCCCGCGTCTCACCGGGAGCCTGCAGCCGGGGCGAGGGCCGGGCACCCCTCAGCTGCTCGTGATAACGGGACGGGTAAGGAGGCCGCGGTAAGTGGGAGGAGGCACCTCTGGCAGGTACGAACTGTGCCCCTGGCTCTCCTTCCGCAGTGCGATTGCTGCGGGTGGCACAGGCCCAGCCGCCTTTCCTTGGGCGATCGCTTCCCTGCACAAGCACCATCTTTAGCTGATTATAAAGCTTTTAGCACTAAAAATCAGGGCTAGAATTTCCTGAGTGTTTGCTTCGCGTCCAAGGACTTTTGTACTCTGCAATACCAGCAAATATCATTCATGTCCTCTATGGAAACCCCCAGGCTGTTGTGTCCCCCCGCAGTGAGCGCTCAGCAGCCCTGCCCTCCGCTAACGAACCGCCCTCATTAGCGAGCGATGGCCCCGCGCTCCCCCGGCAGGGACCCGGGGAAGGGTCCTGCAGTGCCAGGACGGTGCCGGTACCTCCTGGACGATGGAGCCCAGCTGGAAGCCGAGGCGCTGGCAGAGCTCGCCCAGGTTGGAGAGGCTGCTGGCCCGCAGCGCGCTGTCGGGGTCCCGGGCGCCCCGCAGGAAGGCCTGGACCAGCGGCTCCCGGTGCTTGACCACCATGTCCCCTGCAAGAGAGCGGCACGTCACGGGCGAGGAAAAGCAGCCCCTTCCTGCCAAAGCCTCGCCGTGGTGGCAGGGCCAGGGACGCCGTGGCGCTGGCAAACCCCGGCGGCAGAGACCTTTGTCTGGGGCCGCCGGGCACATCCCGCGCCCCGCGGGGCCGTTCGGAGGCGACGGCAGACGCAGCACACAGAAACAAAGCGCAAAACCCAAATTCACACGTAATTCAGCCGCCCAGCTCCCCCCCGCCTCGCCCCAATTAGCACACGGAGGCGCCGCGGATGTGTGAGCCGCCTAATTAGAGGTCGGCGCACGGAGCCCGTGACCGGCATGAACAATCACCCCGGCCCAGGGTCCTCCTGCGCGAGCGGCGTGGCCGGGGACCGTGTGTCCCACGGCGTGGGCACGGATCCCACCGGGCAGGGCCTGCTGCCGCACTGTGGGAGGAACGGAGCAAGGGAAGCTCTGGTGGGCTCACCGGCCCGCGAGCTCGGGGGTTTCCCTGCTCCTGCGAGCTCTGGGAGCTCCTTGGACGCCGGTTTGTGCAGCTGGTGGCGGCTGTGGGATGCTCTGGGGACACAGGGACAGGAATAAGCCCTGTGGGGAGCACAGGGACCCCATCACCCTGCACACGGGGCCCGGCCAGCCCCTGCGCCGCGTCTCCCTTCCCTCAGCGAACAAAGCACGTGCTCCCTGCTGGAGCAGGGAAAAGTTCTGCCGTGACGCGCCCGGAGCGGATTTAACGGCTAATTGGGTCGGTGCGAGATCTCCAGGAACCGCTGTTGCAGCGCTCGGCCCCGCGTTGCTGGAGGCAGAGGAACGACGCCACACGCCTCCAGCCACGCTGCCCACGCCGGCCGTTTGCCGCGCGATGGGTGCCCGCTGCAAAATCCCCTCCCGGATGGGAAAGAGCCGCTCGAGCGGGATGGCAGCAGGGACGGGGACGGGGCAGGAGGGAGGCACGGCGGTCCCCAGGCAGCAGCTCCGACCCGCAGCAGCGCCGCTGCGCAGAGCAGAGCGTTTCTGGAAGCGCCAGCTAAATCCTCGCTCTTGAATCCTGAAGCTTTGCAACAAAAACAACTTCATGCGATTTGTTCTATAAATACACAGGCGAGCCGGGACGTGCTGGAGTCGCTGCCCGCGGCAGAGGCACTACGGGGAGGGGGGAGAAC